ATTCCAGCGAAACTGCCATTCTTGTAATGTAAGATCTTTAGGAAGATAATTAATGAACTTAGTATTGATGCTTGCCTGTAAGTCATTCAGAGATGGATGAGAGGGGAGATCTAAAACTTTTGATTCATAAACAGTAGGATAGTAAGAGTGATTCCATAAGGTACTGTTTACTTTTAAACGAAGGACTCGAGAGAGAGTAGGCTCTCGTTCTGCTACTGGGTAAATTGGAGGTAAACCTGAAAGTACAGGGTGATTATAATTAAAGTTTAAGTTTCAAAACGCTATAAAAAAAGAACCACTGATGAAAATGATGTGAAATTTGAAAGGAATGTTATTGAAGAAGGCGGAAAGCGTATGGCAGAAGAAAAAATTTAGTTTTCAAAGTTAGCAACAGATGGCGCTGTAAGCGGCAAAATCACGACGAGAAACGAGAGCGATTCGTAAAACAATGGCTAAGGTGGAAGTTACACATTAAAATGCATTGACAAATTAGAATTGTTGAATAATTTTATTGCATGACTGTACATATACATCGAAAGGGACAAATCGGTTTCAAGAGTTTTGCGGCGACATACCGCATAAGAACCATTCATCAAAGAAGTTCGGAACTGTCGCGAGATTGGCACAAAACATGTTCAATATGGTGTGTTGCAACAAGTGAAAGCGACAAACAGCATGTTCCACAACGGATCTCAGTGTCTCCGGGGTGATGTTCAGAATGTGTTGCGAAATGCGTGCCTTTAATTCCGCTAAATTTGCAATTGGAGCACGGAACACAACATCCTTCAGATATCGCCCCACAGCCAGAAATCACACGGAGTAAGATCAGGCGATCGGGACGGCCAGGCTGTAGGGAAATGACGGCCTGATAATTCGAGCATTTCCGAAATGGCACCACAGCAGCTGCTTCATGGGATGTGCAATGTACGGAGGAAGCGCCATCTTGTATAAAAATTGATTTCATCGACACATCCACGCTGTTGCAGAGCTGGAATCACGCTGTTGGCAAAAGAGATGTAATACCTCTGACCAGTGACGGTTGCGGTAACAGGACCGGAAGCACCCGTCTGCTTCGAAAAAATATGGTTTGTAGGATGAATGATGTCGTAAAGCCGCACCACACCATGACCTTTTCAGGATGAAGTGGTACGGGGTGGGTTGCCAGTGGATTTTCTGTTGCCCATATTCAACAATTCTGGGTATTGACGTATGCCCTGTCAGATGGAAATGGGACTTTCATCTGTCCACAAAATTTTCCACGGCCATTCATTATCCACTTCCATGCGAGCCAGGAATTCTACACGCAAACGTCTCCCTTACTGCCAGGTCAGACGGAAGCAATTCCTGCACATGGCCAATTTTGTACGGATAGCATTGCAGGATGTTTCGTACAATTTTCAGCACCGTGCTCGTAGGCCTGTCCAATGTTCCGGGCAATTCCTCGTGCACTGCACTGTTGCACACCACCGGCCGACCCCTCCTGTAATGCTGTGGCCACTTCTTCAACTACCGTCGAATGCACTCGTTTTCTCCCTCTACCAGATTGCACATCAAACGAACCTGTCGTTTTCGAATTTTTGCATTCATTTTCTTTAGATTCACACGACACTCATTGGACCAACGCCTTCTTTTATACCCTTCAGTGTCCTGAATTTTTGCAGAAGCTACTCTTGCACATCATCACTCTAGTAATACAGCTTTATTAGTAGAGCACGGTCCTACAGTAAAACACCCATGGCGAAACGTCCTGAGATGCGAAATGAGGAGCCTGGCATCTGCGGTTTTATAACACTGAAATTTAACTAACATTTTAATTTACATCTTCCGCTTACAGCTCCATCTGTTGCTAACTTTTGAAACTACATTTTTTCTTCTGCCATACGCTTCCCGCCTTCTTCAATAATATTCCTTTCAAATTTGGCGTCATTTTCATGAGTGGTTCTTTTTCTATAGCGTTTTGAAACTTAAACTTTAATTATAATCACCCTGTACTTGCAATGCCGCTGTTGGTGATGTGCGATATCCTCTGCCTTATGTGAAGAAGAGACATCCTCTGTATAGAATTTAGTAGCCGATGAGCATGCTCAGTTAGATTAACTGCCCATATTCCAGCACAATATGCGGTTATTTGTGATAATAATTCTGCTTTTCATTTGTTTTAGGTGTGGAATCCAAGTTAGTCGTGAATCTACAACAAGACCTAGATACTTAATTTGGTTACTGAATTTAATTGATTGTCCTTGTAATTTCGGAGATAGGTTTCTTTTTAAGGGTCTTGCTGCACGTATTATCATTGCCGAAGTTTTTGAAGGACATATTGTGATTTTGTGATTACGGGCCCAATTACTAAATATATCCGGACAGAAATGAGCTATCAGTTGTAGTTTTGACTTCCCATGTATGACCATTAGGAAGTCGTCTGCATAGGCAATTTTTTCACATTCTTGAAAGTGTTTGAATTCTCCAAAAATCGAATTGGAGACTACGGACCAACGTATCGGTCCTAAGCAAGAGCTCTGAGAGCATCCTCTTTGAAGCTTTCTGGTTACAATCTCTGAGTCTGTTGTAATCTGTACAGTTCTGTCCTGTAGATAGCTCCTGATTATATCAATAAGATCAGAAGAACATCCCATAGTGATCAGAGCATTTATTATGTCCGCCCACCATAGGGAGTCAAAAGCTCCTTGAATGTCCGTGCTTATGAGTTAAGAGTGCTGTTGATTGTTTCTGTTATTCTGCAAGATTGTTTGTAGGCGAGAGATTGCATGTTCTGTCGATTTTCCTCTACGGAATCCAAATTGTGACTAATTTAAGATATTAAGAATTTAAGAAGATTAAGAATTTAAGATATTAAGAATTAAGAATTTAAGATATTAAGAATTAAGAATTTAAGATATTAAGAAATAAGAATTTAAGATATTAAGAATTAATTTAAGAAGATAAATAAAATTGCAAGCTATAATTATACGTTCCAGTAACTTCCCCAATGCTGGGATTAAACAGATAGGTCTCTATGAGGAAGCTACTAGGGGCTTTTACCTGTATTATAAAAGAAATCAACATCTGCCCGTTTGGAAGAAGTAGGAAAGTGGCGTAATTTCCAGCAACAGTTGATGGACGCTAAAAGGATGATAAGAGAAATTCTGTAGAACATTTATAAAATAGCGTTAAAGATACCAACAGGCCCAGTGGCGTTTTTGGGGTTTAAAAACTTGATTATATTATCTATATCAAAATAATTTGGTTCAGGCTGAGATGAATATATATGTACATTGAAGTTTTCTCTAATAATAGATTGAATCGCTGTATCATCTGGATTATCATCTTTGTAAATTGCAGATAGTAAATATGTGACTGTATCTGTTGATGTCTTAGCCCTTGGATGTATTTGAGAGAGAATCTTTTGTATTTTCACAAAAGTTGCGCCAATAATTTTGCTTTGCATCATTTATTTCTCACTTATAATTTGCATAAGCTTTTTATATTGAACGAATGAAGCTTGACGTTCAGGGGAACGAGCAGCCTGAGCTTGTCATCGTAGTTTGCGTAAAGCTGTTCTTTCTTTTGAGAGCTTGTCTGTCCACCAAGGAGCACTGAATCTATTGCGAAATCGTTTTCTTCTAAAGGATTGTTGACATGCTAATTGACATATATTTATGAACTGATCATAAGCTTGATAGAGATCTGCTACAGTACGGCAGTTTTGAAAACCATGAAGATTCTCGTATTATATTGAGTGAGAGACTCTATATAGGGACTAAGGTAAGTTCTGAGTTTTCCTAGACCACCAAATGATGTTTTAAAGCGCATTTTTGTAAAAGTACTGATTGTAGTGCTTACACTAAATGTTATTGCTGCATGATCACTTAAAGTAATATAATCTGAAGTCGTCGAATCTTGAATTAAAGTTGCTACTGCAGAATTGGCAAGTGTAACATCCGGCCAAACCTTTGCCCTCACAATGTTGGCGGAGAAGTAGTTGAATTAACAATCAAAAGGTGATTTGATTAAATGAAATCCAAAAGAAATGCCGATCGAGAATCTTCATGGTCAGAACCCCAAAGGGAACTTGAGGCGTTGAAGTCTCCGGCAAGTAGAATATATTTGATGCACAATGCTTAATATAGTCGATTTCAAAAATCAGTGTGTCTGTGTCTTTACTTGGTGGATGGTATATTGAGGCGATTAAGAAACTATCTTCCTTAGTGTCTAGTGCGATTGAAATAGTGTGTTCTGTAGCTTTCCAAACCATGAGGGGTAAGGGTCCAATATACACTAAAGTAGCCAAATAATTTAATGAAAAGAAGATTTTACTATTTGAACCAGCTCCTATTAAAGAGTATAAAACAGTACCTGAAAAGACCAAATGATAATTTCAGGAAATGAGAACATTTTTATTTCATGAAATGATATTCTTCAATAATCCTGCATCATAACTATTAATGGCTCATCATTTACAAACCGCATGAACATACAAGAGAACATCTCTGCTGAAGCTTAGGGAATTAGACTTTTATACCATAAGCAAGAAAAAAATTATTATATTCTATCATGTTCTTGTGGTTTAAATGGTTCAGCTAGAAGTGGATGGCCGATTATTTGCATATGGCAAAAATTTTATCTTACCTCTTTACCAAATATAATAGTTTTTATAAGAGCAACTGAGAGTCAAGAATCTGTCAGCACTATGATTTTACGTGTGATTTAGGGTATGTCACATGTAAGCTGCATTTTTAAAAAGCTTTAATGCATTTTTATGTTGGCATATATCTTAAATATTAAATATCACAAAGCTAAAAAATGTATGAAGAAATAGCTGTTGACAGACCGCAGTATATCAATTAATTTTATTTCCAAGACTTGCCAGTTTTTTGCATTATTGTATATTTCAAAGCGCAGGAATATAAAATTTTAGATGTAAAGAAACTACAAAATATCAGTTCAATGAAAATGATATCAAAGCAAGATAAGGAAAATTAATAGCGTGAAACTGCTCTTACCAGGCGGTAGCTTAATCATAAAGACCATTCTTTCCCACCGAGGAATCTAGAAAACAAAAAGATCTAGATAAAAATCTACATTTTAAATCTAGATATATATACATAGATATAACACAGATAAATTCTAAAACCCTGATTTATTTCCTATAAAGCATGGTTACAAATAGAATATGTAAAAGTAAAATACTAACTGTAGCAGTAGTAGCCCAATTTAGGCAATTTTCGTTACAAAAGGATATTTGGAACTTTTATATTTTCTCTCTACGAAATTCGATATTGACCATCAGTTCTAATTGTCGATGAATGGTTACTTTGAAGTTTCCTTTTTTCTTGTTGGATACAAACCAGGATTGATTACCATCGCTTCGCTATAAAACATCGTCTAAAAACAGCCCTAATGAGATAATTTATCCTAAACGCTAGTTTCCAATAGTGGCTGCTTGTTACGAAATGTTTTAATCATTAATTTTCTCAGTCTTAAATAACGAAAAAAAGCCAATGATCAAACAAACTAAATTAAAGTTGACATTTTTTTAGTTAACAATCAGATTTATTTGCTTAAGATAAATGCCCATGTATTGGCTTTTTTAAGCTTTCTCATACATGTAATTCAAACCGAGATGAATAAATTAAAAGAATGGTAAATTAAAAACACATATGCATAAATATATTTTCAATTTTCTGTAAAAAAACACTTTTAAATTCAAGTATTGTTATTTATTATTTTGAATAAATAGCACAGCGAAATGTTTACAACTTACTATTTATTAAAACGCACAAAACGAAAAACATCTCATGTAGACACCACATGACTTCCTTGTACGACCTATTCAATTATGCAAATCTATTGCTGCATTTCATTTGGACACATTCACAAGAATTTCATTGGAGATACATCTCTCATTCAATCAACTCAGTTCTCAATTCGCGGTAAAGAAAAAATGCATAAAAACTCAAAACATATTCATTTAAAAGTATAAAATACAGAAAAAAACTAAAACAGCAAATAGAGCTGAAAAGCGTTAAAACAACAATTGTTTACAATTAAAATTAGAGTTTAAATTAATTATAATTATGCAAAAAGACCGATTTTTTGGTGCACAAAACTTTTCGCCCCACTGGGCAAAAAGACACTGAAGCTGGTGCAGAAATTGACTTAATTCACTAAGCTACTAAGTTTTTGAAACATGGCGATGGCGTTAGGCTTAGTGCAGCTTAAACAACATTTAAATTGTTCATAATTCTACAAGTATTGCATACAGATAAACTAAAGGCACAAAACTCTTAACGAAACATAGAAATATATAATTCAATCAGTTTTACAGCAAAAATTGTACAAATTACCAACGTATAAGAATAAGAAAACATAGCTCACTGAACAGGGTAACAGAATAGGGTAACATATATATATATATATATATATAAATGTATTTATAAACCTTTGGAGCAGCCAATTGCAACCAAAAAGAGAGGTGCACGTCTACATGTTATAGCAGTCCCATATACAAAATTTCAACGTTTCAAGACCACTTGTTTTTATTCTGAGGCTACTCATATGCCAGATACATACGTACGTACGTACAGATGTTAACATGTATGTAAAATGTACGTACAGATAAAAACCTGTGTTGAATCCATTTTACAATCCGTTTTAGTAAAAAAAAAAAAAAAACACCCTTTTTTCTGTACGTACGTACAGATATAACGCAAAATCATTGTTCAGATCGAATCCAGAGCCGTCAAAGTAGACATTTTCGTTCAAATACGATACCCGAAACTTTTCGCGATTACACTACTTCCTTTACTTCGTACAAGGAATTAAAAGACACATTTTGATATACTTTGTTTACATCTCACATGATTTCATAAAGTGTCTTTGTACATGCTATTTGCTTCTTTATTTACATTACTTTTCCTTTCCTTACTGTTGAACAGCTCTTTATCTCATCATAATAAATTATATCAGCTTATTTGTTTGTGTGTGTAGTGGTGCTTTTCATGTGTACTATTAGTGAGGGTAATGGTGCTTTTCATGGATGATACCTTCATAAATTTTTGTCTACGTATTAAGCTTTGCTATTTATTTTTGGTTCTCTGGACGTTTTAAGGTTTCTTCAAATGCGAAATGCTTCTTGACTTGAATTTTCATCAAAAATATCTTTGAGTATTTCAGCTATAAATTAGTTACGTATGCAATCTAATACTATCCTATTTTCCTATATCCTTCTAAGGTATGACGCTTCATTAGGTATTTGATGAAAATGCAAACGATATCTATGCGAATATTTTAATATAATATTTTATAATTAATTCATAATCAAAATTTGTTTCGAAATGTAGATAATTGTTTCCAAGAGTACACATCCCTAACTGTCCATTGAACTTCCGATAAGCCCGGTTTATATTAAGAAGGACAAATAGCACAAGAAGGACAAATAGATTATCTGTACGAAATATTTCGTACAGATAATCTGTTTAAGAGACATTTTCAATTAAAATATGTACGAACTATAAAAAGATATGCATACATTCAATTCCAACAATATTTTAAAGGGAATGAAATTACAATATCCATTTTCTCACATAAATGCTATTTTGCAAAGTTACAAATAACAAGAATACTTTTTAAAGTGATCAATTAAAACATAATAACACTTTCCCAGAAGTTTCATTAACAATTTCTATCATAAATATTTGCACACATGCACATGTTAAAATTCTGCATTTGCTTAGTATAAACTTTACTTAGTATAAACTCCTTATTCAAATCGATAGAATGAATTCAATATTCCATTAATAATAAAGCAATACGACGTGTGCAGCACGAAACCCAAATAGAGTTCCATAGCGTGCGCTAATCGCATGCCTAGGAGATTTTAGAGCGAAAGAATGAAGTGATGCCGCAGATGGAAGTCATTCCAGCTAATGTACGACACCAGCTTTAAGAATGAGGCGAAATGAAGATCCTATTTCCAACATATTTGAAACAGTTCGCGTGCTTTTCGAAGTCTTCCGAAGTCGCGAATAGCGGTTTTCAAAGTATTTACGACGCAATGCAACTTTTATGGCACTTTTACGGCTACGCCACATCTCGCACCCTCCTCAACGCCTATCTTCCTTGCATCCATGTGAGGGGATTCGGAACGCTTGAGGTTTCGAATGGCATGGAAGTAAAATCGTACAGCTTTCCGGATGCGGTTGAAGTTAAAGATTGATGATCCAAAATTTATCGGCGTGCTTTGAATTCATGAGAAATTTGTTGCCCCAGCATCATGAAAGCACATATTGCTGATCGGTCAATGTTTAATGGGAGTTTGATCCGCGGTATTGAGTGAACGCTTGTGTAAATATGAAGTAAAGTGGTTTTTCCGTGAAAGCGGGTTTTATTTCCGCATTGTATAAATAACAGTAAAATATGAATATAGTGCAACTGATTTCCAGTTTGGTGACTATCGAAGGATGCAACGAAAGCTCCTAAAAATACCTAATATTACACAGGACCCATTTATAATTAATTCCACAAAGATATTTTTTCATTTAAATTTTCAGTGTTTCATATTTTAAACCTCAAGAATTACTTGAAATAATATTTTGAAGTGGTTGGATGCTTCAAATGATATTTTTAGCTCAGATTTACGAACACATCTGGTTAAGAAGTGCTTGCTATAGAAATATTGATATAAAAATAAGAATGATTCGATACGTATCGAGCGGTGATTATCCATAATTTACAGCAGTGATCAAATAATGAATTAATTTTCTATTTTAAAATAATAATAATTTAATAATGATAGAAAAAGTAAACGAACTACAAAATTATCAGAAGTTTATCTTAGACTAGCATAGTTTTCTATTCAATTCCTGTATGCATTTTACGAGAAACGCAGGGGGGGATTTCTCTTTTTTAAGCATCAAAATCTCTTTTTTGTGCAATTGCCTAAAACAAACCAGCTTTAGATCGTGTCTTGAAATGCATCTAATTAAAATCAACGTCAGTATGAAGTAGAAATTTTGGCAGACGTTATAGATTCAAACAGTTACCTTGTGAACTATATTAATTTGCATAGTTTGACTCTTTCATAAACTAGATCGAAAAATTTCTCATTTGTCATCTTGTAAGACATTTATATGATGTATCGCGAATTTAAAGCGTAGATTAATCTGTATTTTGTCTTCTGTTGCTTCTGAGAGTCTGTAGCAACATTGCTTTAAATTTCATCTTTATATTCTAATTCCTAAATTACATTGATATATTTAAATTTTAAAATTCATATACTAGCTGTTTAATTTAATTAATATATATTTTGTTATGTATTAATCGTTTTTATTTTCAAGCTTATGTTTTGCTTATTATTTCAGTTTTGATCTGTAATTGAAGTTTAATTTCTTTTTGTTTTGTTGTTTAAAGTTGGTTGTAAGTTTAAACTGTAATTTTTGTAAACTTTAAATTTAGGTTAGGTTGCTTTAAAAGTTTTCTTGAGTTGATGTTGTTTAATTTTAATTTGAGTTTAGGGACTTAAGATTTTTGGGTTTTGCATCTTGTTGTTTTGACCCTTAAGGTTGTTTAGCTTTTAACTTTAATTATTTTAAAGCCTTGTTGCTGCACTTTTGGTGTGTTAAAATTTTCTTAACTTTAGTAACTTAATTTTTATCCCTCTTTCTATTAAAGTTAATCGAATTCATATTTTCTGACTGGCGGTGGGTAAAACCAATGTATTTGTAATTCAATCTGGATAATAAGTGTGCATACTTTAATTGCTTCTGAAGAAACAATTTAAATAGTGCTGACATTTTTATTATGTATTATATTGTTGTGTAATTAGTAGTTTCATTTTTATTTCATTTTTGTGTTAACTTGGGTCATTTTGTGTTAACTTGGTTTAGAAAATTTTCACCCCTTACAGTTAGTTTGGAATACATTCTCGGAATCTCTTATCAGAGGATTTACTGCACCCCAAAAATTCTTTCGCCCAAGCGAAAAACCATATGTGCGGGTGACGTGTTGGATGGATACACCATATGGAGTTTCCTGAAAAGAGGACCCTG